CATCTCCAGTCCTCCCCTTTTTTTTTTTTTTTGAATTTACGATCCTACTGTCTGACCTTCCTAAAGTAACTAAGATCACAGGTTCTGTGCCGTCACTCCCAGCTCGTTTACGAGTTCTGATGGTGTTTCTGTGGATTCTTCACGTTTCCCTAAGTATGAGATCATGCCATCTGCCAACGAGGACAATTTTAGTGACATCTCCAATTGGTGTGCCTTCCTTTCTTCCTCTTACCTGGTTGATCTGGTTAGTACTTCCAGAGCTCCATTGAATACAAGAGGAAAGCACAGACATCCTTGTCTCATTTTAGATTTTAGGGGAAAATCCTTCAACCTTTTCCTCTTTGCTGTATTAGCAAGGTTTGTCATGCACGGGTTTTAGGGTGTGGAGGTATCCATTCCTTCTTGTTTGGGATTTTATTTTTGTTCTAGGTGCTGGGTCTGGACCCCAGGACCTTGTGCATGCCAGGCAAGTGCTCTGACACCGAGCCACACCCGTGAGGTACACTCCTTGTACACCTAATGCATGGAGAGGTTTTATGATCAACGAATTTAAATTTTTAATAAGTGCTTCTTTCTGAGTCTCTAGAGATGACCAAATGATGGTTCTTCCTTCTGTTATGTGACATATCACATTTATTGATTCACCTATATTGAATGATCCTTGCATCTCTGGTATGAACCCAACTTGATTATGGTGAAGAATCTTTTGGATGTGCCTTTGGATTCTGTCTTGCTAGTATTTTTTTTTTGGGGGGGGCCACCATTTCTTCAAATGTTCTACCCTTTTATCTCTCTTCCTTGTGGAACTCTTATAAGTATGTCTGTGAGGGATCCTACAGGCCCTTGAGAGTTAGTTCATTTTTATCCCAAGTCTGTTTTTTTTTTATTCCTGTTCTACATAACAATAACTTCAACGGACCTATCTTCAGGTTCACCCATCCTTTCTTCTGCCTGCTTATTAAATTTTCTGATAACTCCCTCTAGTGAGTTTTTTCATTCCATCATTGTACTTTTCAGTTCCAGAATTTCGGTTTGGTTCCTTTTAAAAATAAAAGAGAGAGAGAGAGAGAGAAAGAGAGAGAGAGACAGAGAGACAGAGAGA